AACCTCACTATGTCCACGCATCAAATGCACATCAGGCCATCGTATTCGAGGACAGTTAAAATCGTCCGTAAGCAGAAAGTGTGGACGACTCATGTGGGTCCGAAGATGGGGCAGCCAATCCAAACAACGACTCAGGGGACTGCGATAAACTGCGCCCACAAGCAGTTCTCCGCGCCTGAGGCGGATGGAGCACCACAGTAGCTCACACAGGCCATCGTCACTTCGGTAGGTGCTCACAAGTCTCCCACGCAGGGAAGACCGGATGTAAAGTAAGACACCACCGTGGGCATTCTTTAGTCTATCGCATCGGAAACACGAGTAACCGTTGAGTTCAAGTTCTTGGGTGTATAACTCTGCATGCAGCCATGTCTCTGCGAGTCCCACTACGTCTGGCCGCTCAGACGCAACGAAACAACAAAGCTCATCGCGCTTATTCATAATACTGCAAACGTTTGTGAAGGCTACTCGCAGGCCGCAGCAGGAGCCACCGGGCGTGCTTGAAGTGTGAGCAGCCTGTTTATCCTGATTCGCGGATTGTTGGAAACCACCCGAAAATTTACGATACGAAGATTTGTTTCCCCCTCACCAGTGAGTCTTTTCAACTCAATGATGGCAGCCGCTCCCTGTCTACTGGGTCCAGGTCGGGACGAACATGGATCTTCAAACCTTTCAGCCTACTTAGGCGAGACATAATAAGTCTTGGACTGGCTTCGTCCACAAAAGTGATTCTCATAGGCCGATTTTGTTGATCACCTTGCTTTCCAAGACGGGTAATCTGCCTCACTTTTACCGAGTCCTCACCAGCGTTGAGGAGTCTATCAATTAAACCTTGTAAAAACTCGACATCGTGATCGTAGCGCACTTGGGGTGATGGATCACTGGACTCCGGTGCGTGAAAGATCACGAGATTATAACGCCTCTGGTCGGACGAGGTTGGCCTTGCAGGGCGAAGTATACTACCAGCCTCAAGTGGTTTGGCTAACTGTTGACTTACAGAACGTAAACGCCCAACGTTCCTTCGTAATTTCGTCCTCTGATCTTTCCACTGGTCTTCAGCACTCAGACTTTCACCTGCTGGGACATCAGTTCCGTTGGACAATTTAGGCCAGGTGCAACTGGGCTTCTCACAATGGTTGGACTTCGTGTCGGTGAGTTTGCACGGGTAGATGAGGACGACTGAGCCGAAACCTGAAGGCTCTTCGCGCTAGGTTGTTAAGCCAAACACACGGAGCTGTTCGCAACGAAACGCTGAGGCCTCCACGTCGGCTTTACTCTTTCTGGCTGTATCTTATTACGGCAATTTTCACATATTGTTTGGACGAAATCGCGTTGGATCTCGAGAAGACGATGAAAATGCACAACCGATAATCCAACACATGAAATGTGGAATTTAACTTGGCACAAAACACACGTTAGGGCATTTGCACGGTATCCGACTAGTTTTGAGCAAGTACCACAGAATGACTGCTTCGGCATTGTGAATAATCCGAAAACAAGATGGCAGGCAATTGACGGAGAAAATGGCGATAGCAAGATCGCCGAAACCAAGCGATGAAAACACCAGTATTTCTTGTCTGGAATTTCAGAATCGAAAATGAAACTGAATTGTATCTCAATTTCCACGAAATACTTCCAATGAACGTAGAAAGTCAACACAAAGTGACCTTGTCAACACAGCCCAAAATAACCGACCGGAGGTCGCTATCCGCAGTCGATGATTTGTCTGTGAGTCAGGGTAACCCAGCTTCTAAGTGAGCTATCCGAAGTCGTGAACGGAGCTCTCTACACTATACTATATACCATAGAAGCAGAAACTAGACTGACTGTAGACAGATTCTTGCGAGATCGACTTGGAACATAATGTTTTGATTGCTCGACACAGATTGCTGCCATTAACATAAAGCAATAAGATCGCTAGTAAGAATATAGGCGGCCCCAATAACGAACCTCGTGTTACACCGTATCTGACCTGGACACAATCACAAATGGATACAATACAGTCGGGGGTGGCACCAATACCGAGATTCATTATTTCTAAACACCCAATCACGATAAACAAACATACAACACAGGGTCGAATGTTGGCAACTGGTGTACTGGACGGAAATCTGGTAGGCTACATGTCGTGGGTAGCTGGAAAGCCGCTGTATCACATGTGATCAAAATGTATGAGAGCCAAATGGCTCACCTTGTTGCAGCACATGTTGGCCAAGACGAAGTAGAAGCGCCAGTTTGCCTCCTTGACGTCGAACGGATCGGCTCGTTCAGCCTGCTGTCGACCGCAACCGCAAGCGCTGACCAAAACCCAGTTAGACCGATGAGGCATCACGGTTAGGTGCTGTTTGGTCTCATCCGCTTGAGACGTGACGCCGCCCGAGTGCGTTGTCCCTTCCGTATGTGAATTTTTCCCGTCACCGAAGCTGGACACCTTTGCCGGCGGTGTCGTGGACACTGTTTCATTCGCAAGGGACTCTAACCAGTACCTTCGCCATTTACCCACGAGATCTGGATAACAAGGACGAAGACGAGTATTAAATAGCTTGAAAGGACTAACATGGTGCGGCAAGTATGACGTTCGCAAACCTTGAAATGGCAAACTACTCATATGAGGCCAGTAGTTACGGTAACATCAGACACAACTGTTGGCGGTGTGATACATGGCGTGATCCTACTGAGATCTATGCACAATAGCACAGTCGAACCCGATTTAATGCCCACCCGGTTTACAGCCCACCACTTTATTGTCCAGTTTTTCAAAATACAAACTCTTTTCTCATAAAGATGTGAAATTTTCACCGTCTAATTGCCCATTGCCAGAGTCGTCACACCGCTAATTGCCCAGCAGCGTTGGCTGTGCTTTCGTCGCTCTGTCAATTTTACGCCCCCGCTCCGACTATTTTTTATTACGATTACCCCACAGCTAGCTAGCCCGTTCGAATCAAGAACAAGAAAGATGTCGGCAACGTTATTGCCAGATCAGAGAACCATACCTACGTCACTCAATACACAAGCAAGCTAAATGTACAGGCGGTTGTGGGCAAACCCTCGGCCCTATTCAAAACTCGAGAATTGAGCAAAGTCGCGTAATCTTTCCGCTCAACATTTGTCAGTAGTGTATTGGTTACACACAAGTATGGCCAGTAACACAAAGAATTTGTCCTTGACAAAAAAGTTGGACTGGATGATATCGGTTCGAGAGTATACTGAACAGCTACAGATCGCTTCTGAAGGAAAAGGAAGAATTCGGGGAGACTTGGCAAATCCTTGTCTGCCACAGAAGGATGGTTGTAAAATTGGAAGAACAGGAATCAATTTAGGTATAAATGTGCATATGGCGAAGAGTTACGCGGAGAGAGCAGTCTGTGTAAATTGGCTGTAAGATGGACTGCCTAAACTTTTAAATGCATTTGATGACGGCAACGTGTACAATGCAGACGTAACAGGTTTTTTTATTGAGTAACTCCAGAGGGCTCTGTGTTTTTCTGCCGACCGGTTCAGCGGATCGAAGAAAGCCATGGATAAGATCACCCTCCTGTGCTGCGCGAAGATGTCAGGCACGGAGAAAAGAAAAATAGTTTTGATTGGAAAAGGTAAAAAAAACCACGAAGTTTAAATGGCATGAAAGTGGACACACTTCCAGTAAAGTACAGAGCCAACAAACATGCGTGTAGAACGAATAAATTTTCACCGAGTAGGTTCTCGTATGGGGCGAGGAGCTAGGCCAAAGTGGCTGAAAAATTATATTGCAGTTGGATAATTGCACAGCGCATCCACAGGTAGAAGGCTAGAAAAATATTCAAATGGAATTTTTGCCGGCAAACATGACCACCACCCTTCCCACTCATGGACCAAGGTGTGAGTATGGATCTGGAAATCCGTTACAGGATGGAAATCGTGGACCGATTTCTTCACCACATCGAAAACAAAGTGTTATCTGGCTCATCCTCGGCGGTGGCTGTCAGCGCCAAGATGTCTGTGTTCGATGCAATTCAGTTCGTTTCAAAAAGCCGGAGACAAGTTACCGGTGCAACAGTACAAGCGCTTTCGGTATGCTGGATTCCCATTTATTAAAATGAATCAAGGGAGGCAGAATCTGAGTAAAGAATTCTTTTCGGCAATTCTCATCAGACTCAAACATTACATGATGAGGAAAAGTGCTAAGTGTGCCGGATTGGGCTGCGTATTGAACAGAATGTTTAATTCCACGGGTACAAATCAATAAATCACGGAGTCATTGGGAGTGGCAAGTATGTACAGGGGAAATCCTAGCCGAAGTTGTAGGCCACGGTAGAAGCAAAGGACGTACAAACTGTTTTTGTACGCACAATTCTGGCTTGAGGTGGCGGATGTAGATAGCTTCCGCAATAAAATGATGATGAGAAGGGGGGAAAACAACACAATGGCTGGTGGCGCGGAGATAGCGCGCTTTATAACTTCGACCTGCTTTACCGTGATCCGGACCGCCTCTCTGTGTAGTCTGAAGAGATCAACCTCTAGATAAACCCGGTGAAAAATCGTTATTCATGAGCCTGGGTAAGGGTGGACACGGTCGAAGCTACAATGTGGCCAGTCAATCGTTGCATCCCACGCCTCTCGAACGAGACCACAGTGTACACTAACGCTTCGACCTGAGGGAACTTTGATGTAGCTGCACATAGATATATCTTCTTGTTGCTTCCATCCGGCAAACTCTCGGTATATCAGCACAAAAAAGTATATATACCGTGACTGTCTACGACGTCCGCGCATACAAGATGGATGGTGGTTCATCCCGAGCTGCGGTGCCAAAAGTATGCAACTTCAACTGACGAAGTCCAGTACGAGGACTTGGGCAATGCCGAAAGCACGGTACGCATAGCAACACCGAACAATGCCCCAGTAAACTGGTATTCATGATTAATTAATGTGTATGGACATTTAAAAATTTAGGGAAATTTCCTCCAATAAAACCAACCGTTTGGCACTTGCATTTATAAGGTATGTCGGTCAATCAAGCTTACTTGAATCTTCCGCCGGTACACCGAAAACCGCCGTTTCGTCGACGTCTTTGTCATTACCTAGCACTGAGGTGGCGGGAAGCATCAGAAAGTCATTCTCTTCTGGCTGTGATAGGCCTGCACCGACCGGCTCCTGTTGATTCGCCGTCAGTGAGTCACGAGAAGAAAGTGGCTTCTCCGAGTCACCATCACCTTCCAATCGGACCCCCAAGGAAGCCATGCGTCTAGTGAGCACAGCTACCGGTTTCGTCCCAGTGTCCACAAAACCGACTTCGACGGGCGCACCTTGTCCGACCTTGTCGGACACGGGCAACTCTGGCTGCGTTGATTCGAACTCACATGGTGGACAGAATGGGTGGTGACTAGACTCGCAGAGGAATTGTGGAACCAAAGCGATGCTTGTGAGCTGTGCAAAATAATGAGCAGAACAAAAACCAAAGAACAACCTGAAAGTGGTTGGTTAGCCAATTCAAGTGGGACAAATGTTGAGACGCCGTGGGCATCACACACGCATGACGATAACCGCATGGGATTGGGAGCAAGTGAGATGCAGCGACTCCACACAAACACACACACACAAAGATGTTTCAGTGCCCCAGCAAATGAAAATAGACTACAATGAGGAATCAATAGCAATCTTTGTACAACAGGTAGATTCTATTTACTGACAACAGTTGACCTGATTCTCCCGGGGTTGCGCAACATAGAACGTTAGTCCTACCGGTCCCCTACACACATGAAACACGCAAAGATAACGGATATAGATCTAAAGTTTAACCAGTAAATTAGGTATGCGGGCAAAGCGATCAGGTACAGGTAGACACAGGGAAGAACGTTCATTCGATTGAGACCTTTGACCAGTAGTAGGCTACGGATAAAAAAGACAGGGGTTTTACATGTTCTGTCGCATGGCCGGCTGGGGATCTGTAAAAAGATAATCAAAGCAATGGCAATCGGGAGTGCGCGAACTTTAATCCACACACACTAGTTGAAGGAATTAGCAAAGATACCGAAGCCGAATGAGTTATGAACGGAATTGTGTTTCTACGCGTTGGTTTTCTGATGCAGCATTCTATACGTTAGATGGAAGTGAAAAATACCGCATTAAAGTGCAGTAAGATATTCGTGAAGAGTAGATAGTGAAAATTACGAGATAATCAAGTAATATTATATGTATGTTGTTGTTATGCATACTAGTGAAGGCAACCTTGAAGGGAACGGTAATCAGGACTCGCAATACGAACGCTACTGAGGTCAATTATAAGTCATGGAAACGGGTGTCTCCAATCAAATTTGGGTGTAAGTGTGCAGCAAATAGTTGCACAAAAGTTCAAGATAGAAAGGGGATTAAAATTTTCAGCAAGATACTCTGAATCCAGATATTTCGGGCATCCACATCAGCTGTTAACATATAATCCGTGGAATAATGGTGCTAACTTTAAAATAAGAAACAACGTTCCAAGTTGTTCAATTAACATTTGGAACAATCAAAGAACTGCTAAGATAAAGCGAGGCTAAACATAAACTCACTTGGTTTACTTAATTTGGGTCTCAGCCGCCGAATTATTGAAGCTTCAGCAACCTGAAGCAGGTGAGCATTGTTCTGTCTGTTAATCATGCAGAACAATTCATGGGGATCTTAACATATGGAACAGTCTAGGATGTTCTGAGCAATGGAGCCAAAAGGCAGCTTGGGACCATTCGTGATCCCATTATGTGGAATTTGGTCTGAAATCCTAGTCATCATCGTTCTCTTAGTTCAGTCCACGTAGTTGCTACCACAAGTACAATGAAAGAGGTAATTACATGAGGTATTAACTCGAGGACCTGGCTTGTTCATATTGGATTTCCATACCAGCTTTCTTATATAGTGCAATAACACAAGTTCATCCGTGTAGAACACTTCATCTGGCGGAGACGGTGTCCAAATCCTTTGTCACTTTTGTCCCTTAGAAAAGGTAGCGTGATAAACACTTCTTCCTAGGGACGTTTTAAGTTGTTTCTCCCTGTTTTCTGTGTTTGCTTGCCGTGCTATAAATTTCACAGGGTATTCCTTTCTATGGAGTGTTAATGATACGTGCTCCAACTCGTTGCCTATGATATCTTCAGAGCAAATCTTACGAGCTCTCACGAATGCAGTGCGAACTAATGTTTGTTTGTAGTTTATAGGACAAAATATGTTCAAGTTGAGGTACTGTTCTGTCCAAGCAGAGCTGCGACACATGGAGAGAGTGACCGTACCTCCTGAATTTCTCTCTCCAGTTATACATTTTACTTTCCATTGTGGAAAAGCCGATGAGCCGATGCGTCCAGGTAATGTCAGCAGGAGGCTCGCCCATTTAACAGCCTATCAGATACCATAACAGAATGTCCCAAGTAGCTGGAATCCTTTTGTCAGCACGTCAAGATCCCTTTTGCAAGATGTCTGTAAGTCAGGGTAACCCAGCTTCTAAGTGAGCTATCCGAAGTCGTGAACGGAGCTCTCTACACTATACTATATACTATAAAAGCAGAAACTGGACTGACCGTAGACAGATCCTTACGAGATCGACTTGGAACTTAATGTTTGGATTGCTCGACACAGATTGCTGCCATCAACATAAAGCAATAAGATCGCTAGTAAGAATATAGATGGCCCCAATAACGAACCTCGTGTTACACCGTATCTGACGTCGACACAATCACAAATGGATACAATACATTCGGGAGCGGCACCAATACTGAAATTCATTGTTTCTAAACGCCCAATCACGATAAACAAACATACAACACAGGGCCGAATGTTGTCAACTGGTGTACTGGACGGAAATCTGGTAGGCCACATGGCGTGGGTAACTGGAAAGCCTCTGTATCACATGTGATCAAAACGCTCACCTTGTTGCAGCACATGTTGGCCAAGACAAAGTAGAAGCGCCAGTTTGCCTCCTTGACGTCGAACGGATCGGCTCGTTCAGCCTGTTGTCGACCGCAACCGCAAGCGCTGACCAAAACCCAGTTAGACCGATGAGGCATCACGGTTAGGTGCTGTTTGGTCTCATCCGCTTGAGACGTGGCGCCGCCTGAGTGCGTTGTCCCTTCGGTATGTGAATTTTTCCCGTCACCGAAGCTGGACACCTTCGCCGGCGGGGTCGTGGACACTGTTTCATTCGCAAGGGACTCTAACCAGTACCTTCGCCATTTACCCACGAGATCTGGATAACAAAGACGAAGACGAGTATTAAATTGCTTGAAAGGACTAACATGGTGCGGTAAGTATGACGTCCGCAAATCTTGAAATGGCAAACTACTCATATGAGGCCAATAGTTACGGCAACAGCACACACAATTGTTGGCGGTGTGATACATGGCGTGATCCTACTGAGGCCTATACACAACAGTACAGTCGAACCCGCTTTATTGCCCACCCGGCTTACAGCCCACTCCACTTTATTGCCCAGTTTTTCAAAATACAAATTCTTTTCTCATAAATATGCTAAATTTTCACCGTCTAATTGCCCATTGCCGGAGTCGTCCCACCGCTTAATTGCCCAGCTGCGTTGGCTGTGCTTTCGTCGCTTTGTCAATTTTACGCCCTCGCTCCGACTATCTTTTATTACGATTACCCCACAGCTAGCCAGTCCGATCGAGTCAAGAACAAGAAAGATGTCGGCGACGTTATTGCCAGATCAGAGAAGCTTACCTACGTCATTCAATACACAAGCAAGCTAAATGTACAGACGGCTGTGAGCAAGCCCTCGGCCCTATTCAAAACTCGAGAACTGAGCAAAGTCGCGTAATCTTTCCGCTCAACATTTGTCAGTAGTCTATTGGTTACACACAAATATGGCCAGTAACAGAAAGAATTTGTCCTTGACAGAAAAGTTGGACTGGATGATATCGGTTTGTGAGCAAACCAAACAGCTACAGACTGCTTCTGAAGAAAAAGGAAGAATTAGGGGAAGTCTTGGAAAATCCTTGGCTGCCAAAGAAGGATGATTATAAAGATGGAAGAATAGGAATCAAATTAGGTATAAACGTGCGCATGGCGAAAAGTGTTCCGCGGACAGAGCAGTCTGTGTAAATTGGCTGTAAGATCGACTGCCTGAACTTTTAAATGCATTCGATGACGGCAACGTGTACAATGCGGACGTAACAGGTTTTTTATCGAGTAACTCCAGAGGGCTCTTTGTGTTTTCTGCCGACAGGCTCAGCGGATCGAAAAAAGCCATGAATAGGATCACCCTCCAGTGCTGCGCGAATGTCAGGAACGGATAAAAGAAAACTGGTTTTGAATGGAAAGTAAGTTTTACTGGCGTGAACGTGGACACACTTCTCGTAACTTACAGAGCTAACAAAAATGCGTGGATGACGAAAAAATTTTTCACCGAGTAGGTTCTCGAATGGGACAAGGAGCTAGGCCAAAGTGGCTGAAAAATTATGTTGCTGTTGGATAATTGCACAGCGCATCCACAGGTAGAAGGCTTGAAAAATATTCAAATGACATTTTTGCCGGCAAACACGACCACCATCCTTCAACTCATGGACCAAGTGTGAGTATGGATCTGAAAATCCGTTACAGGAAGGAAGTTGTGGACCGAATTCTTCATCACATCGAAAACAACGTGTTATCTGGCTCATCGTCAGCGGTGGATGTCAGCACCAAGATTTCTGTGTTCGATGCTATTCAGTTCGTTTCAAAAAGTTGTAGATAAGTTACCGGTGCAACAATAAAAGCGTTTCGGCATGCTGGCTTCAGTCGGCTGGCATCCGATGCACTTTCTGCTGACGCCGTCATCACTGAGGGCGAGATCAGCGCTTGCACAACCCAAGTCATAACTGCAGAAGAGTTTGTCGCCATTGACAACGATGTGGAATGTACCTCAGATCTGACAACTGTTGAAGATGAAATCGTCAGTAAAAATTTAGAGAACCGACTAGAAGAGAAAAAAGACAGCGACTTAGAGGATGACGTGTCGGATGCCTCCGTGAGTCACAGTAATCAGCACGTGTCGCATTCCAGAGCAAATAACCTTGTGAATGATCTGCATAGCTACGGACTTTGGCATGGATTGGGCAACGATCCCTTGTCCAAATTGGACTTCATCAATGAAAAAATGACTGGGGTAGCAGCACAAAATAATGTACAACTGACGTTGGATTGTTTTCTCAGCAAAAGGACACATTGACGCTAGTTTCTATAGCTATCCAGGTAAGCTGCTATACGATACATTTTTTAAACTATAGTTCTTCTGAATAAACTTTGTTTGTGGGGTTTAGTTACAATTACATATTTTCACCTTCCTAGCACGTTACAATTCAAGTGATATACTGTACAATAATTCAGCTGCAACTCGACTGGCGGCTTAAGTTTGGTACCTTCGTCGCTTGGTGAGGGGGCTACCCTGTCTTCTGCACGGTAGTAACGCGCAAATCAGTGGATAGTGAGCGGCGATATATCACATCTAGTAACTTATTCACCATGGTCGTTGCCGTCCCCCGTAGCTCAGTGGTCTCAACCACGGACTGGCAACAGTCGAGTTGCGGGTTCGAGCCCTACCAGGGGTCCGATGGAATGCGCACTGCTGATGATTCCCGAAAGAATGAAACACGCGTACAGTGATTTTTCGGGGCGTGTAGCGGCTGTCTGAGTGAGTGTAGATTTGACGAATTTCTACCCATACCATTCAACTCCCCCTCCTACTCCGAACGTGACACGCGCGACCGGGAAGCCAAGGCGAGGGCGGTGGGAATGAGCGACAACGGGCACGCTCCTAAATTGCCCAGGGAATATTTCGAAGGTGACAATGCTATGAGTGCTCTTCACTGTTAGATCTTGCGCTGCACAAACATAAATGCATTGTGAACGTATACATCGCAAGATAACCCTGTTGCGTGGTTTCCACTTTCCCATTCAGTTGTTAGGCAAGGATTTTTTGCACGCTGCATGCAACAGCCTCACCTTACATGAAAAACACGACAAAAGAACGCATGCACCCTAGATGGTCAGGATAGGATCTAGCTTCTAAGACTACAACCCAAACTAACGCAAACGTTAGATATGTCACCATCTTGCAAATGAGCGACAATTTGTAGTACTTGTCTACAATCTTTTTTAAACTTGAATTGACAAAGCTTAGCTGCAGAGTAAGTCGCGGTCTAAAATCGCGAGATTGTATATTGTAATTCAGTCACAAGATCGGTAAACCAGGATAAGGATATCAAAGACGAAGGTCATTCTGCGCATACTATTAGGCCCCATACATGAAATAAACCAAGGATTCAAAACAAGGTAATGGGAAATCGATCGGTGGTCAATTGTTTTCCGATTGGTAGGTTACGCACCACGACAAGCTTAGTGTCACTGTCAGCTGCTTTTGAACACGGAGTGGTGGGTGCTGTCGACCGATGGCATTGGCCTCGAGGAGCTTGGGGATGTGGGGTCTCGATGCATCGAGGTTTACCTGGTGACCGGTACCAGCAAATATCTTGTAATTGCTGAGGCAACCTTGCCTCTTGGTTCGCCTTGTGCAGCCATCGTTACATCCAGAGACATTTGGGAGCATGTTTATAGATTCGTACAATTAGATTTCAACCAGCGCGCTTCGTTTTCGTCTGTAAAGCGTATTTCATTTTTCCGGTCAACATGAACCGCCGGTCAGTCATTCACCGCCATGACGAGTGTGCCCTGTGGAGCCCCTGCAGATAACCTACACGTGCCCAGTTCGAGCCGCAGTTCTGTCGTGTCTGCTTACATCTAGCGGAGTGTAGTGTTACGCGACGTCTATGTGTTTCACTATGGAGTGAATCGCGGTCCACATTGAGCATAAGCCGTGTGCTTCAAAACAACTTCATCCAAGGAGTCACAAACCGTTGTCCCGAGCGTTGCCTGTTGTTTAGGGCTAGAGGCTTCGACTGACATCCCAAGGTCCTATGTGCAAGTCCCGGTTTGATTCACTCTGCCTGATGAGAACAAATAAATCCGAAACCAGTCATGGAGTGCATAACACAACATTTAATGTTAATGTATTCGTCCAATCAGTTCACAAGCTACAAATAGCACACCCCCCATCCGTCAAAGCACCAGACGCGCGGTTCGCCCTATTGGGGCTCGTCAGTGGTGCGCATTCTACGATCCCCTACGGGGGATCGAATTCATGACGCCAAGTAGCCAGCAGCTTAAGTCGCTGAGCAATGGTGGACGTTGCTTGAACGACATAACTTGCAAAGTAACTGGGATATAGCACGGGCTATCGTTCAATACCACGCAGGTTCCTACTAGTGCAGAAGGCAGGTCATGACTTCCACTCACTAGACGCTAGGTCCATAGCAGTTGAAAGTATGAGGGCTAATTTTATATTACGCAATGAATTGTCCCGGATGAATGAATGAACCGAACGAGATTCACTTCAAATTAAGTCATATTCCAAATCGAGACCGCGTGTCGCAACTCATCCACGCGATGGGTATTTCAAAACAAGCCAAGAATGCATCCAGCAATCATTTCGAGTAACACTATCTGAAAGTCGAGGAACAGATAACAGGTTATACTCATCATTCGTAACCTGTATACACGAATACATGGTTGGCGGCATCCGGTTTCGGATTTACCTGTCACTGTGGCCAGCCACAGGACGCCTGCGCCCATAGAGGGACCATGGGTGGCTTGCGCTGCACCACCCACAGCTCCAACCACACACCTCATATCCAGTGTAAACCCGAAGGAATAAGACCGGGAGGCATGTGGATGGGAGCTAGGTTTCATCAACGGAGCCGGCTCACACTCCTTCACAGGCAGACACAAGTACGCTGTATTTGGGGAATCAAGCGCACACACATGGCGGTGGCTGGACCGTAGTCCACTCCACCCTGAGTGCATGGAACCATTCTTCGAGCCTAGCACGGCCACAATGACCGTGCACCCCGTCCCCTCCAGCAACGACTAACTGTCTCCTAGAGCCAGTATGGACGAGAAAGTGGGTAATAGACAGGTAGGTCCCTTGTCAACATGTACATCAAGCGCAGCTACATGGTTACATATGAGCACGGAAACCACCACACTGACCATGGGGAACCAGATTATCAAGCCTGGACTTCCATTCGTGAGCGCCGCTTGGAGCCACGTATTGTCCCTGGTGCAGTAGTAGCGAGTGGGATTTCATCATTTCACCCGGTGAGCTGGCTGCTGCTGCGAGTAGGGATTGAAGGTTCAGCGTCTCATCAGGCAAACGATGCAGTTCGTGTTGACACAGGCGGCCGGTAAGTGAGACGGCTGAGCAAGTGACCCGGCCGGCAAGGTAGAGATGAGCTAACCGTTTGGATAACTGCGCCAAGGTGGGAAACACAAGACGGCCACGAGCGAGGCTGATGAAGAGATTGAACGCAGAGACCACCTATGGAAGAGAAAAGAGCAAAAGGAACGAACGTAGTGAAGTGAGAGAGAGACATAGACCATACGTTTCATTCTGTGAGGCTAGCAAAGGAAGAAAACCGAATGGAATATAGACATCTCAGTTGGCTAAAGAGGGAGCACCGGGAGGTAATTACATACACCGGGTACAGAGTTAATCTGTCCAGGAGGCACCAAAAGATATAGGCGAATAACTTCATTCTAGTCTAAATATAGAGATCATCGGACCAAAGTACGGTGAAGTCATTTGCCGTACATCGCCGAACTCATAATAACAGTAATCATAAGTTGAAACAATACGTTCTCTTTATGATCCCAAATAAAAAAATCAGAGGCAAATTGTGAGATGACGTCTCCATTTCGTGCATCACTACCAATAACAAACATGCAACAGTGAAGTATAAACAAAGTGTCATATGAGATCACAGATTGTTAAGCGCTTGCGCTACCAGAGTAGCCTTAGAGTCACAGTCAGCTATTTTTGAACGCACGGCGGTGGTCGTTCGCGATTGATAACGATGGCCCCCAGCACGTAGGGTTGCTGATCGCTCATTTGGATAGTGAACGAGTCACCAGGATTGACTCAGTGACCGACGATCAGTAATCGCTGCGTACTTACCGAGGCAACTTCGTTTTCCAGATTCAACCGATTCTGCCGTCACGGATACCTTCCGGCTAAGTAACCATATGCGGATATGTTCAATGGTTCTGACACCCAGACGTAGGTCTGTGTGGCCAAAATAACTGTCTACATAGCTACACGTGAATTTGTGTAGAATGGGACATTCACTGCCCTGTCATCGGTGTGAGACCATAAAATCAACAAATTCACATAAGCGTTATGTTAGTGATATACTGCTAACTACGGATTCGGAAGTGGATATCTTGCATGTGACTAAAACACTCAACAAAATGCACCCGAACCTTACAGTGACACGTGACAATGAAAAGACAATTGTCTTCCGTATCTGAATGTACTTACTGCTTACACGGCGGCAGACGATTTCAACAGGTCAGTTTAGAGAAAGCCAATCTGGATGGGTCAGTATTTGCACTTTACGAGTTAATCCACATATAACACAAACATTCTCTAGTCCGAGAACCCTTTTATCGGGCCTAGTTAACCAGTACACCAGACACCACAGAAGACAGGAGAGATATAAGCGGTTCGATACTAGACAAGTAAAACCTTATTCGTAGCAGCGCATTAAGGGACTAAGTGAAACAACGAAGCGAAATCGATGAAGCGAATCTTTATGAAGCTATCTTTCAAATGTGATCATGTTATGAAGGTCACCGAGAAACAGATAGGTGCCTCACTAAAAAGAGCGTAAAATATTGCGGAATTGTAACTGCTCACCATGAGGAGATTTATGATTATGCGTTCGAGTAAAACACCGATGACGATGCAGCGGATGTCCCACTTTTAACGCAAATTCACCTGTATCTGTGGAGGCAGCTAACTTGGGCGACTGACCAAATTCTAGGTGTCAGAACCAATGAATGTACTTCCATGTGGTTAAGCAGTCAGTGACGACGGAATCGGATGAATAGGAAAACCGAGCTGCTTAGGCAGACACGAAGCATTTGCTGATTATCGGCCAATGAGTTCATTCTGATGAGCCGTTCGCAGTCCCATTGGGCAATGTACGGCCCCATGTGTGATCAGGCTACCGGAGCCAATCGCTATCGATCGCGGAAGTGGGCCGATGTGCATTCAAAAACAGCTGACTGTGTCTCTAAGCCTATCCTGGAAGCGCAAACGCTTGCATATCTATGACCACATATGACAATTTGTTTAGATATCTATCACTGTTGCATGTTTGTTATTGATAATACACGAAAAGGAGACATCATCTCACAAACTACATCCTCCAATTTTGATGTTTGGAGTTATAATTCGTAATTCGTGAACAAAAGGAAATCAAAGTAATGAGACGAAAAAATTAGGAGTGAAAAATAGGGTAAGTAATGTAAGCATGCTGCTGGTTCCGGGATTTCATCACACATTAGACGGTATACAGCCAATAACGTGGCCGATTTCTAGGGACCCATCCAGGAAAACAGCGAGCACCAACCCGGTTCCACCGTTAGCCAAATTTCTTTATGCTCATTTGGAAAGTAGTAAGTTACTGCACACCACATCGAAGTTTACGCCTTTAAACCCAGTGTTCAGAAACAGTAGAACGCGTCGAGGTAGCCGAAAGTGCGAAGCACATGATTCGGTTGGTGGAAGCGATTCGAGTTCAATTATGAAATTCTCTCCACATGATTTCTTGATGCACTGATGTCGCCCTATCCGCTGCATCGAGCAGGGTGGATGGGGGTTTAAATTCTACTGCTCAAGCTTTCCAGCCCTCGTCCCATCTCTTGACCTTTTTCATCCTTATCGTCCCGCTCCAACCTCACTTTCATGTCCACAGTTTTCAACCGTCCAATTCTTAGCCCTCCCCCATGTTGCTTCAATGGTCACTAGTCACCTAGTTTCAACACACGCAATCGCAGTACGTCGCTCTCTAGTACGGTCGACAAGTTATGTTCAACCAAGCGGACAACGTCAGTTCATCAATTTCCCTTTGGAGTCCTCGATCCTCCCTAAGACTGGCATGCTTCAACGTGCGCACTTTGTTGCAGATTGACCAAAAGGCAGCACTTGTCGGAACACTAGAGGTCCTGTGGATCGATATCTACTGCTTACCGGAAATCCGCCTGGAAGATGCGAGTTCCGCGCTTACTATGCGATCCCCCATAAGCGACGCCCGCGGCGCGTCCTCACTGCGTTTGTCTGGAAACAACGCAGCTTCAAACACTGGTCAAGCTGGTGTGGGCATTGTTTTGAATCCCCGGACTGGAGCTGCCCTGATTGACTGGACTCCAATGAACAGCCGGAAGTGCGCTATCAGATTGGCTGGCTCGTCCATTGCTTCAAAGTCTCGTGGGGACAAACGATGCCTGTTTGTCATTGCTGCCTACGCCCCGGACAAATTGTAGTGCTGACTAGATGAAAGACGACTTCCATCACCAAGTAAACGCGCTTTGTCGTCACAGAAAAAGTGCGGTACTGTGATGCTGGCAGGCGATCTGAAAACCCAAGTGGAAATACTGTCCGCTGATGAACTGCATCTGGAATACCAATATGCTGTAGCCTCTCGTAATGATAACGGTGAACGGTTGCTACACCTGTGCGAAAATGGTCGTCTCTTTCTCATGAGCACTTGCTTTCGACATAGCACGCGCAGAAGGGTGATATGGCGCCCACCCGCCTAAAACCAACCATGGACGCAAATCGACCATATCGCGATCAGTTAACGCTGGAGCGGCTGGACCAAAACTGTCGCTCAATTTGGTGCACGAGCGTGGACTCTGATCACGCACTCGTTTGTGCCGATCATACAGTTCGTTTCGGTGGGCGCATGCAGTATCGCTGTGAGGGCATAAATACATGCCAGCTGGTGATGTCAGAAGTCCTGAATGTGTAGCAAAGTACGCTGGCATCCGGGCTGAGTAAGCGCTCTTTGAACACAGTAGAAGGCCACTGGTCTCATATTCACCAGAGGTTATTAGAAGCAAGCATGTCTTCATGTGGCAAATCGAACTACTAACCTACGCATTGAGTCTCTAAGCAGTCCCAGGAGATTTTGCGTACTCGCCTACACATTCCGGCTGGAAGCGAACACAAGGAGACTCACGAAGACTTCAGGGCGAAACTGCGTTCTAGCCTGAAGAGAGGTCGCGAAGCTTGGTGGCTTCATCATGCATGAAAGATGGAAATGGCCGTTGCTCTTGGTAACCATCAGAAGTTATTCCGTTTGTTCAAGTTCAAGTTTTCTTGCTATTCCGAATTAATCAACCAAAATTCTCCGCAAGAATTCTGGCCTAGCCGAAGAAAAATCAGAAGTCCAACGACCCCCACCGAGGAAAATGTGTTAACAAAAACGCAGCCAATATGGTGTACAACTGCGCCAGACCTACGCCAAAGTTATAGGCTTCTAGAAAAGGAAGGTCAACTGGTAAAATAAACAGCTTCATTGCCAACACTCCGTGTGTTAGCGGTCACGTGGAGGTTCCGGAATCTTCGAAATCAGTGCACAATCGAAGATAATCGATTAATTGCTAAAATAATGGGTTTTACTTGGTGTGTTATCTTAGCCCGGATAGTCTGATACGCGAAGCGGGCAGAAGGAGATCTGGTGTTAGGCAGACCACACGTGACGAGGGTGGACGACCAATCCAGTTTAGCAAAATGTTTGGAGCGTTGGGAGGAACACTACACAGCAGCTTAATTTGCTAGAGTTGCCAGGTTTTCAACTGGCAAATGATCTCCCATCTACTTGGGCCATCCCCCTGGATCCACCCTCACGCACAGAAGTCGAACGTGAGATCAGACTGTTGAAAGTAAACAAGGGAGCAGGAACGAATAAAATTCCTCCTGCTGTCTTCGAATTCGGTTAATTTTGTAGATGAACTGCACCACTTACTTTTGAAGCAGTGAGAGCAGGAAACTATCCCAGCAGACTGGAGCTGCTCGATAATAGTCCCAATTTTCAAGGGGTCTCACGTTCTGAATGCGGCAATCAGAGAATGATCAGTCTGCTCTCAACTGCCTCTAACATGCTCGTCTCTGTAGTTCTTCATTGACCTGGTGGCACTCGGTCGGCCGGTGGCCGAGCGGTATGCGCGTCTGGTTTGTAACCTTAAGGTCACTGGTTCGAATCCGCGTAGGGACGGGCGTCCTCGCGGTATACTCAGCCCACGCGCGACTGGTGGTGGTCGCGTGGCAGCGAAGCGCCGTTAAGGCGTACAGCTGGTGATTTATTTTTACTTACTTTGGTGGCACCCGTGAAAGCCGGGTTTTCTCGCAGTCGCGGCTGTATTGAGCACATCTTTACATTATATAAATTGTTGCAACACCGCCGTATTTATCGGGCAGCCATCGTTGTCGTGTTTCTAGACATCAAAGGTGCATTCGATTCGGTTGATCGATGTGCCCTTTGAGACCGTCTACTCAAGAAATGTGTGCCCAAAAATTTACGTAAAAATCATCAGAGCGTTTTACTCGCATAGTTCGGGCAATGTGAGCACTTACGGCAAACTGTCACCGTCCTCCAATATCTCCAGCGGTGTGGGATAAGAATACCTACTGTCACCTTTGCTTACTACCTTCTCCATTGACCAATTCATGGAGACTGCGTTCACTGGACACGACCTGCAAGGTGTACAGCTGCTCTCAGGTGATAGACTTTTGAAATGGAGTACGACCACGACGACATTGCCCTTCTCTGTGACAGCTTTCAAACGTGCCAAGTAGCACTGAACAAATTAGTATCGAATGTCAATCGTTTCGGGCTACACACTGCGCCTAGGAAGTGCAAAGTCCTTCTCCAAGATTGGCAGGGACCCACTCTAGCGTTGACCTTTGGTGGGGATTAGCTTGAAGTCATCGAAAAATTCAAGTATCAAGGCAGTTATAACAGCACCTGTGGAAAAGATGACATCACAGACCGCATAGCAAAAGCTAAAGGTGCTTTTGCTAATCTCCGCCACCTGTGGAGCCAACGCGATATCACTCTCGCCCTGAAAGGCAAAATTTACAATGCAGCCGTCAGTCCAACCCCTTGATAAGGTTGCGAAACCTAGCCCATCAAGTCGAGACATAAAGTGGCTAGTTACGTTTGACCATTGCTGCCTTCGCAGCTTAGCTGATGTCTAATGTGAGCACCGCGTGAGCAATGAGCGTGTTCGGTTTAAGGTATTTGGCGAAGGAAGAACGAGTAAACTGCTCAGCATCAGCGGAAGTAAGCAGCTATGCAGTAACGGCAGTTCGCTGTCGTGCAACCACCACCAGTTGCCCGTGGGCTACGGATAGTGCAAGGTTCGCCAAGTCCCTTCGCAGGCTCTAACCCGCGCCGTAAGATTACAAAGGCAAGATTGTTACCATTAGGCTAGGTGCCGGATACATAAATAAATCATCGGCTGTACGCCGTAACGGTTCTACGCTGCTGCGCGACTATCACCGGTCGCGCGTGGGCTGAGTATACTGCGAGGACACCCGCCCCTACGCGGATTTGAACGGGTGAGCTTACGGATTGCATGCCAGGCGTGCGGACCACTCGGCCACCGGTCGGCAAACTGTTCAGCCCCGTTATTTCACGTACTTGGCTCCGATGGCTGGAGCACTTGTTGCGCGCATGCTAACCCAACGACTCTCGAGACGTATATTGTTTGAGCGCCGGCGATGTGGATAGAAGAACAGGAGAGGTGACCAAGCTATGACTTCAGTAAGAAGAATGAAATCTCTCACTTCGAAGTCAGTGTCGGTTGGTGTGTCCTGACTGCCTGGCTGAGTCCGAAGGATGATGTATACGTCTGGTTGGATACACTAGCTGACATGACAAGAAGCCAACCGCAGTGGCGTTTATGCTGTGAATTTCTTTGTCCCTCCCCATTCCGCTTATCTTGCCCCTCCAATTGCGAGCTCTCTTTTGACGCATAATATGTTACTAATTGGTATGCTGGCTATACTTTGAGTAGGTTGGTGTTTCGTATGTCTATATGTATTGCGGCATAATGGATAAAGTGTGTTTCTAACCTTCAGTTAATGTGATAACGATGACAGAGATGTCGGCGAGGCAGCGAAGGCTATGCTGCTAGACACCATATGAGCAAGTCTAGTCTAGCTCAGCCAATGCTCCCACGTGCTCGCCAACATTGTTAGCTAAACACAGTCACCTTCCTAATGTTCTCCGTGTGCAGCATTCTGGTTAAGGATTTATGCCAGTTGGGCCCCATTAAAAAGCAAAGCCCGTGACCGAAAGGAGTGCGCACGTGCCTAGCAATCCGGGGATGCGGAGCTCAAATCCGCGTATATGCGGGCAACCTCGCGCGACTGATGGGAGTCGCGAAACAGCGAAGTGTCGGTACGGTGTGCCGGCGGATGCGTCTGCCTTGTTTGCGAACGATACATGCATGCAGAAACACCGATCTCGTTACAGAGTTGCAAAACGGTCTGTGTGACTGATACGCGAACATCAGCAATGCATGCGGTAGTCTTCTCGATGAGATAACCACGAATGGTGATTGAACTACCTAGATAAGCAAGCTATTCTCGAATAGATGTACATACTAGCAGATAGCTTAAACGAAACTGAGCACATAAGGGGACGTGTCTGAGTCACAGAGAAGCACTAGACTACTCAAGCAGGTCAAAAGAGTGAGTGAGTGCTATCGAATCCGATTTCGATATCAGCTTGCTGGTACCACAAGAACACCGTCCGATGCCGATAACAATGCGTCTGAAGCCTCCATATGGAGAAAAAGGCAAGCTCAGATGCCTTAAAGAAAAACGTTTCGTACCTATGTCCTGCAAATCTGAGGGAGGCATCATTCGGACGGCAACGGTGTCTCTATGCCAATGTAGAGTGTAGTAAGCTCACCACCACTAGGTTATCAAGTGGATGGAAACACAGACGTGAACCGCATCGCGCAGGAAAAACAAAACACTGTTATGTTCCTGCCGATAATTTCGGTGACTTGACACTGCATTTGGGGATCCCGGCCTAAGCAAACTCCCTGAATTCACAGACGTTATTGCAAACGAGCTCCAATACGATTAGAGAGGGACACAATGTTCACTGCTATAATCATCTCATTATATTTCTGAGCAAACGACTTTCCCGAATGTTACCCTCCTATCAGACATTGCCGGAGTTTGCCCCTCGTTCTCATTGGCAAGCTATGAAGTCCACGAGCTCCTATTGGTTGAACCTGGCCAGCACACACATTTTTATTGGTTGACTACAATGTAACCGTGCCCAAGCGTCGTTAGCCCCATAAAGTGATGCGTTTATGTTCCGTACTTCACGTGCACAGTACTGTAATGGAGGTGCACCATGGGATTTCAAACGTACGCTACAGAGCGATAGTGCATAAATTCGGTGGCCACTTACCTTAACTAAGTGATAGGTGTTGGAGTAGTGCATTGGCAAATCCTTCTTGTAATGGGCCTCGGCGGTACTCAGTGCATTCCTGCAACCGAGTTCGGACAGTCGATACAATGGGTCGGTCAGGTAAGCTTGATCAGATGCAAGCCTCCTCTCCTTGTCTCCGAAATCTTGTTCCAATGAGCCCGGCAAAGTGGACGAGCGAACAGTGGAGGACGATAGTACAGAGAGAAGGGAACGTTGCCAAAGCTGAGCAAGTGTGGTGGGTGCCGGAGGCCTTCCTTCGGTCTGATCCGCAGCCAAATCAGGGGTCGGGTCAGCACCAAACGCATCATCTGACATCAGGCTGGTGTACAGCTTGTAGCATGCCTGGATACGAGAAGCGCGTTGTACGCGCCACAATTGATGTGAAAGATAAAAATGCATCGATTAGCATTACCATAGATCAATGAAGAGAGCCAGCCACAAATGCTAACCCCAAGCAGACTGGGTAGGTGAGCAGGGTGTTTGGCTAGGCTAAAATCCAGAACAAAAACAGGATTCATTTATTTCATCACAATCAGGTTACAAGCAAGAGATGCCAGTTACCAATTCGAAAATACATCAGACGGCCATTTCGCCCCTTCGGGACTCATCAGTGGTGCGCATTATCTCCATCCCCTTCAGGGAACCGAAACCATGGCCGCTAGTGGCTTGAACCACTAGCTAGCAGCTTACGGCACTGAGCCATGGGGAGCGAAAGATTGAAAGTTACAATACAACCCAACCCATCCTGCACTGCTATGCAGACAGTCCGGATTTGAAGTTGGACTATTTGGCTATAAGCTAAATAAATCGTGCAAATCTCTCTACTTATGAGTAAAACGAGGGCCACTGCTCGAAGCGTAGCGTTGGGAGCACAAACGGTCAAAATGTCCTCGCTGCAAAATCTTGGTGCCAGTAGGAAGTAAGCGTCGCTTCCAAAACATATGTGAAGGACAGCTGTTACAGCGGAAAACGTAAAGGCAGTAAGCAGAAGAGTTTGTACTGATAAAACGCACGAACAGCTTGATCGGACTATCAGGTTCCAGTGTAGGTTAGTCCATAAATGCAAGTCAAGCAGTTACGAAGTGTGAGCGTCCGGTAAATGGTACACAGTAAAACAAAGAACATCTGGAGGCTCTTAAAGCACTAGTTAACTGAGAGGTCAAGAAGTAAATTCAGACACATGCAGATTTGTTAGATAGTTACACGTTAAAAGCACGGTGTGTCTCATAATGAAGTTGATCTTGTATACATCATGCTTCTTCTTTACCACAGTTGGGCTACAACGACTTAACTTAGATCTGCGTAACAAGGATAAAAAGTATGCCAATGTTTGAGTTGATCAACTCTGTTATTCTGCTGCATATTTCTTGTCAATTTTGCGTATCTATTTTCTTTCAAATGCTGTCCAGGGTGTTTGATATCCCCGGTGTGGCTGCGCTTGATGTGAACGCTAACAAGAGGCCACATGTTGAGAAACCCCTACATCGATTACACTGCCTCCAGGAGACAGTGGGTCGAGGCTTGGGAAGACGTGGTGCACGGTCCTAGCAACGAAAGTAGGCTCAAAAAGTGGTTCTATCCAGTGTGGAGCGGACTACGGCCCAGCCACCGCCTTGTGTATATTTGATACACATGGTTCCCTACATAGTTAGAGGGGAATGCTGCTCCTGTGTATGTTGAAGGAGTGTTGGCCGATTCCTTTGATGACACGTGCCTCCTACCCACATACCTCCCAGGCTTATTCCTTCGGCTTTACATTGGATATGTGGTGTGTGAATGGAGCTGTGGGTGGTGCAGCGCAAGCCAGCCATGGTCCCTGTGTAGGCACATATCCTGTGGCTGTCCTCAGGAGGGCTCAGTGATATGCGAATGCGGAACCGGATGCTTCCAACCAGGTGGGTTAATAAAGAACGGAACCGTGCGTGCGCAACCGGTCAAGAAGTTACGGACAGTTTTGTGTTACGCATAAATGTTTAGTAGCAAATTTGGTATTCACAACAATTTCTCCTGTCCAGCGGAACCGATACTTCGAATGCGCGACTGTCATCGCGAACATCAACGATACCAGTCGTGAAGCATCAGCAGAGGAAATTAGCGTGGTCGATACTGTGATAACCACGCACCTCATAACCATGATAAACTACGAAATAATACGGCTGAGGCACACATGCAACGATTGTTACGTAGAGACAGACGCATGAAAGATTCACGGTTTAATGAATCCGCGTATTGCACCCACCAGCCATAATGGGGCACACAGAAGACAGAAGTAATGCGCGTCAAGGAAGAACCAATGCACCTGCGTGATCAGTCAATTCCTATGTGGATAAGTGCTCGCTTTACGACCACGGATGCAAAAAGTGTGCGAGGCTTACCTACTTGGAGTAGATTAGGCGCGTGCTGGGCCGTGGTTTGTGACGCTATAACAATCTTTTAACCAGGAAATGTCCACACAAATCGTGCCAGTATGCCGCAGCAACTGCCCATAGTATTCTGGGTGCAGTAAATGGGGTTGGCAAAAACCTGACAGCATTCACAACAATTGCGTCAGTCAGGCAACTACGATTCAAGAAAACAAGTGTAGCGAATCCAGTCTGGCATGGGGAAGGTATGTCCACACAACATCGCGCAAGCAAAATCACGTAAGGCTCAGACACTCGCGTTCATGCCATCGCACATGATGCAACTAACCTTCGCACTTACGAGAATTCAACTTTCCCGACTAATCTCCGTTACGAATTAACTTTCCTACCACACAGCCAGAGCAATTACAAGCAATCAGTTTACAAAATATTCCGTTCAAGACTCGCATTGTGTCAGTTCAATTGCTTACGCATCATTCTCCTGGTTCAGCCTATGCAAAGTGTACAACATATAAAAGTTACATACGCCATCAATCGAGACTTATAAGTGAGGTTGGGTAGTGCTGTATTTGCTCTTTGATTGGCCAACAGAAGCGCACTTTATCTCTTGGGGTCGTGCAAACGCGTGTGGGGTCGGTGTTAGTTCTAGTAGCTCGATCCAACATAAACGTGGATGCCGTCTGGCGATTAAATCTCACGGGCCATACGAATCGAAAACTGCCGATTGCTTTTCCGTGCGTGTATACAATCCGCAAGTCATTCGTTTCGACTTACAGGGTCTTTAAAACCAGGTGGGTGAAACACAGTTGTCGTGGGTCGTGCCGATGAGAATAATACATAATAACCGTAGGAAAATAGAGACGGAACGCAAGTGGAACATAGCGAAAATAGCGGGAAAATTCATCGGGTTGGAAAATGAAGTAAAATACAAGAGCACTAATGAGTCTTCGGCTATTCAATGTCAGATAAAGTTTACAACTAATGACTTGACCGAACGCGATATCTTCATGTAAAATCACATGACGAGCTAGTCGAACCAAGCATCCAAATAAATGTTTTCACTCCTTTCGTGACGCTTCCGATGCCAGTCACACTGTGTTTTTATTCAACCACATAGGCGTGATGGTGATTTTGCACCTAATACGTAAATAAAAGTGCGAGAGTATCATTCACATCAAAATGAGATTTTTTCGTCCAATAGCAACAATCCAAGTACAAATGCAAAAAACAATAAATAAGAAATCAGAGTAAAGTTCCATTAGTAACACCAACACGTGATATCCACCTTCGGATTTCCATTATATCAGCTCCCGTTACGAAAATGTAACACAATGGATAAAGAAACTAGGAGCAAAAGACAGCTAGGCGAACAAGTTGGTTTCCGGTGGTTCGCTTCAGACCAGCTCACCACAGAAAATAGGAACAAAACTAACACAGAGTGTTTAAATGCGGTGAATCAGTGAAGCGAATTGACCGGTCAATGAGATGAAGTGACGGCGCTGGCTCAATCAACATTAGTAAAAGTGTTAAGCGCGGCGTCCTTACATGGGGCGGCTTGAGGCCATGGTTAATGAAGAGGCAGTACAAACAACTTTTGAGCACACAAGTTGGGGTTGTGGAGCCGAATAGCGATCGCCTCCGTTGTCGCTAATAGGCGACCTCGGAGAGCTCGCGTGCGGCGTCCAGATATCCGGTAGATAGGCCGGAAGGCCTCTCGTAAATTGACTTGGTGATTTGAGTTGACTAAATTCCACAGCACCGCGCTGGCTACTGCCTTCTCACACCGTATCACTTGACGGCTATCTGGTCTGTAAAACGTCCCGAACAGGTCAGGAAAGCCATAGTTAGGCATAGCCTTCGGGATACTCCCAAATTTCGTGATTCAGTACAAAATCCCGAGCTAGCTGGACGGAAGATGTTCTCTTCAGATGTAGCGTCACTTTTCCCGATAGAGTAGACTATTGACTACCTGTGACTTTATCCCAGTGCACAGCATCAACGTCGATATCCCAAATGATCGTTTGAATCAAGTTATACTGGTGTGCACGAAGAACATTCAGTTCCAGTTTAATGGGACGTTTTACATACTAATAGACGGGGTAGCTATGGGTTCATCATTAGGATCGCTACTCGCCGACGTCTTTATGAGTAAGTCGGAGAACACCCATCTACATGAATGTATCAATATATTGGTTTACTACGGCCGAGATGTTGATGACATATTTTGTGATGCGCATAGCTGGGTATGCGCTAAAGATCTGCTACCCTACTACAACGCTGCATACAACAACATAGTGTTCACCACAGAACTTGTAAGTAACATCTCCTTGTCACTCTTAGATGTCTCCATCGGACGGGACAGTACGGAGAAGAGTATGCAGAAAGACAACCTCGAACAGCCAGTAAACCCATTTCGCAAGGTTCGTTACAATAACTCGAAAAAGAAACATCACGCGTTGTCTAACGGAAAGAGCGAGGAGAATATGCATGGAGAACACGCTCTCGGATGAGTTCAGTTTCATTCGGAGTGTTCTCGAACAAAACGATTATCCGGACAGATTGATCCGGACACATGCAGCCACGAGCAGCAAAAGTCCAACCAAATGAGGCAGAAAGCGGTTAATCTACTTATCACTGTCCTTCGAGGGCGATGTGATAACGGAACAAACTACCCGAAGGCTCTATAATGCCATCGCAGGATGCTACTTTGCAGCTGACCTCCGTGTCAGCTTCACTTCTACGTCATTCGTGAGTCAACATCTCAAGCACAGGATACCAATGTCCATATTACCTTCTGTGTGTACCACTTCTCTTGCTCCTGTCGAGTAAGTTATATTGGAAAGATGACCAGGCGACTGCCTGAGAGAGTAACGGAACATTTCCCGACGTGGTTATACACTAGTGTGAGAAAGATAGTAGCCAGCGCGGTCTTCCGGCCTGTCTACCGGATATCTGGACGCCACAAGCGAGCTCTCCGAGGTCACCTATTAGCGATAACGGAGGCGATCGCTATTCGGCTCCACAACCCCAACTTGTGTGCTCAAAAGTTGTTTGTACTGCCTCTTCATTTACCATGGCCTCAAGCTGCCCCATGTAAGGACGCCGCGCTTAACACTTTTACTAATGTTGATTGAGCCAGTGTCGTCACTTCATCTCATTGACCGGTCAGTTCGCTTCACTGATTCACCGCATTTAAACACTCTGTGTTAGTTTTGTTCCTATTTTCTGTGGTGAGCTGGTCTGAAGCGAACCACCGGAAACCAACTTGTTCGCCTAGCTGTCTATTACACTTCCGATGCATTTTCCGGGATTATTTTCTCACAATTGAGAAAGAAGCGTTTGCAATCGAATTGCCCAGCTAGGTGAACAGTACACCAACAAAACTGCGAATCCGAATTACGAATATTCCATCCAATTTCAGATAACGCCAGACAAAAAGGCGGATGTGAAAATGGATTACCATGAACCAGGCTTTGCAAGTCGGTAGCTCGTAGACCAGTGGAGCTTGGTTGAATCCAGTGGCTCTATTGGCTAGTTGGTCCAAATTATTGGCCACATGCAAATGGAGGAAAGCGGACAGCGTGTGCTCCTCCGGTTGATCAGGTGGCGGATAATCCCAAGGTGAAGGTGGAGGCGGAAGCAAGCTATCCGTGGTAAGAGGCGGAAGGAGACCATCGAAATAGCTTTTTGCTTGTTTCGTGTTGTACTCATTGGCGCCCACATTGTGCAGAATCAATTCCAGGTACTCCTGCGCAAGGCTATCATGGACCACAGGCTTTTGTCCAATTCCAGTAGGATATTCATTTCCGAGAAGAACGTGAACAAAATTGTGACCGGGAAGAGTAAACAACTGGTTTCCCGGATTACTGGGAGAATAATATAAAGTGTGCAAAATAAGCAAGTGGATCAGAACGTGCGACAAATTAACGTCATTTTTCTTTCATACAACAGGACAATCAAACGCGGGCAGTTTTCCAACAACCGCAATAGTAAATAAACAAGGTACACGATTTTTGTGGACTCTGACGTCTAAGGGGACAGATCCAACCGAAGCAATAATGACGCGGTGGATGAAGCCAGAGACTAAGAAAAATATCCTATACGAGTTGAGTAGGGAGTATACGGGCAACCATTCCGTCCGTAAAGATTGGTCAGCAGCGCACATTATAAGTATCCTCGTAATCAGCATCTTATGCCACTGACTGAAAAGCGACGGCGATGGCCAATCTGAATAAATCACTAAAGTAAAGGCATCAGCAGTACAACGGTGGGCAGTACCGACGTTTCACCGTCGCACAACCATCACCGGTTACATGTGGGTCAAGGATATTGCAAGGGCCGTCCTGCCTCTATGCAAGCTCGAACCCACGCCGTCAGATTAAAGGGCAAGTTCGTTAAGTTTAGACGACGGACCGGCCACTTAAGTAGATAAAACGCGCCCCTTCCCCTATTGCCACGCATGCTGCTGTTGTGCACAGGACGGTTCGCCCTCAGAAGCAAAACTGCTTCTCTCCTTAGGCCGTCAGCTGTGTGGTATCTTAAATTACTCGGGAGACTACTGTAAGTGGGATCTAGCACCGATATTTAACGCAGCAGATTCTGATGACTCGGCCACGTGTTGCGCATGCCAGCATACCGACTCCTGCGACGTGCGTTGTTTGCGAGCCGGGGGTGCAGATTGAAGATGAGGATGGATTGCCAAGCGATGATTTTGTCAAGAGGAATGAAGGCCCTTACTTCAAAGTTGGTCTCGGTTGGAGCCTCTTGGCTCAAAGGTGGGGACCGAAAGACGATGAAAACCTTTGGCTGGATACACTTGTTGTCATGACTAGGCACCGACCTCAATGGCGTTTGTGTTGTGAATTTCTTTGTTCCTCCCTCTCCAACCACGATCTCACTTATTAGGCATAATATCTCCTTTTTGCGGCACAACAGCTGGTTGTTAGCTCTCCGGAACCATGTCCATCCGTTACTGGTGACCCAGCCGGCATGTCTCTGGTTCATCTGCTTTTTGCTTTTTCTTGCGTCACAATAGCTGAGGTGTTTTCCACCTGCAGCTGACGTGTATAATAATGATGATGATGATGTGGGCGGGATCTGAAGAGCTACAAGTGTTTTCGGCACAGTTAGAAATAGGAATACAGCTACCCACAACAACACAGTTCCAGCTCCGAAGAATTTAAAAATAACCCACCCAACTAGAGTTCAAACAGGATGCAACTACTGCACAGTGCTTTTCCGGATGGGAGCTGCCGCATGAACTACAGCAAGCACAGTGGTTCTTGTTCGATAATCGAAGTTAGATAGCGCTGGGCCCGGTTATTACTTGCACGGGTGACACGTTGGGAATACCGGGCATTGCGCAGACAAGCACTAGTCGGTGATGATTGGAGCAATTCGTTAGAACAATGCACAAGATCACGTGTATTCTGTGTATATCAGCTTAACGCGCACGGAGAACCTCGTTCTGCTCGCAGGCTACAGGAAGATATGAAGTCTGACGAGACAATTGTTGGGTTGGTAGCGGGAAAGGAAGCCACCGAAGGAAACGATTGGCGATTTCTGTCCCATCTTATAGGTTAAAGTCCAACCAGTCCACCTTCTTCTTGGCTCCAAACTTCACAGAATATGGTTAGTATCCGATACTAGTGTTTGCTTTCGTCTCACATCCGGATTGCCCGTTTAATAGCGAACAATGCTGAATTATCTGTGCACTAAGGCTTATAGGACTCACAACACTTAAAGCCTCAAGGAGACCGTCAGATCAGTGGTGCCTTATGTTCGCAGAGATACCAGCTGTTCGCGGCAATGCGTTATTGGAGTGGTGTAGGAGCCTTAACTCTTTGGATGTTCAGGCTCCACAAAAGGTCCCACTTTTGACACATTTTTCCACATTAGCAGGGCAATGATGGTTGTACGGTGATGAAGAGTTGGTTCAAGATGGTAGTGGTAACGATGATGACGTCCGAGACAAAAACTATCATCAAGCCCTCTCCCTTGTAAGTTCGAGCGCACAGTTGCATGCTGATAAAACTGCTAGTGGATGCGAACACCACCGCTTAACCAAATACGGTGGTTTTAACAGCATAAATGACAAAACACGGTTTTGTCATTTAATCAATCGATGAATACTGTACTATGGACGCAAGCGGAAATTTAATCCGTACAACTCCATCGAAATACGAACAAAAACTCTTAAATAACAAAACTATCTACCGCTTATCACCTCTGATCGTCGCCCAAGTTCTCAAGTGATTTCGTAAAAAAAAGTATACCTCACAGTAAATTGGAACTCAAATGTGAGACATAATATTGTCAGTGGGTAATCGTCATCGAAAGCTAACATTGGAGAAATACACATCCAACAATAGTTTGAATTGCCGTAATAAGTTTACTTTCACTAAATGCTCCGGCAAACCGTCCCAAACTGATCACACGTCGTTCCGAGCGCAGGAGGTAGGGAACTCGCTTCAGATCTGAAACCACAAGCTGGTAACGGTGTCCACGTGTTCCGCCAGGTATTTGCAGCGGCCTCTGCACGTGGAAGTCATATAGTTGCAGAATGCAGTAGGTAGTTATAAGGTAGACTCTCACCCGACAATAGCACAAGGTGTAGAATCCCAGTTATTAGCACATTTTCTTACGGTAAGCTCCGTAAACTGGAGATGGGCACGGTTGCGGCGTGTTGAACCAGAGCGATTCTCTGAGACTCTCGTCAAGCGATCGGGCAATAGGAGGGCGATATGATGGACGAGAAGAGACGAGTAGCAACCTCTTCAGACAAATTGTAGAAGCTACATTGAACATCCATAGCATGGGCATTCCGTTTCGGTGTAGCTTGTTCGTATTGCCCACGAATGTTAAATCGCAGCGTGAGAGTACGCCTAGGTCATTCACAGGTGTGGGGAATAGTGGTTAGCCATCAATGGTATAGGGTTTCGGCCGTCACCCCTCTGCTCCAGGATGATGAATACCGATTTAGATGGGTTAACCGGGAGGTGAACTTCTGCAAACCATATGGAAAGGCGGTTGGTGTCCTGCTGAAATAGACCACATCTCCCGGTTGTTCGTCAACAGGGCACATGCGGCCGAACAAGCCAAGGTACCTCGCTGAAATAAATCAGGAATAACGTAGGCTCAAACACCACGTCGTGTGGTACGCCACTGTTCGGTCAGATGGCTTCTAACCTGTATCATCAACTTTCGTCCAAAGAAAAAGTCGAGGATGGACCGGTGCAGTGATCCACAAGCGCCGCATATCATCATCGTATGGAGGACTTCATAGTTCGCCATGTTGGACGCGCAACACGATGTGCAGTCGATGAGAGTAGACCCAAATGAAATTAGTCGTGGCGGGATAGAAAGATCGCCTAATGCTTCTCTGGATGTGTGGAAAACTGTCGAACTTGGAAGCTGTAACGAAAAACCCTGCATTAATTATATCAAAGATTCCTCACTCACAAGTAAGTAAAACATTCGGCCGTACAACTTCCAAATGCTATGATGTACATAGCCGCATACACAGTCATAACTCTGAGTACAACGATGTCACTTGTAAAGTTTGTGACTTCCAAGGCAGTGGAGAATTAGTCATGTTATATCGCAGCTAGTTGGTAAGTCATAGTGATCTGTCTCCAGTACCCATGATCTGGCTCTTGTACAGGTCATCGGTATCGATAGGTCATAGGTTCGGTTCTCGGTGGAGCAGAGGGGTGCGCAGTGCTGCCGAATCATGATAGGAAGAAACGGCCGTCTAGTGTTCTTCAGATGCATGAATAAATATCGGATTTGGAAGTTACTGCGGAAATCATCATCATCATCATCATCATTACACGTTAGCTGGAGGTGGAAAACACCTCAGCTATTGTGCCGCAATACAAAAGGCAAGAAAAGAAAAAAAAAAAACAAACAGTGGCACGCCCGCTGAGTTCCCAGTAACGGATGGACATCGTTCCGGAGAGCTAACAGCTGGCTGCCGTAAAAGAAAGTCATATTATGCCTAACGATTGAGATCGTGATTGGAGGGGGATGCTAAACAGGAGGGGGATGGACAAAGGAACTCACAACACAAACACCATTGGGGCCGGCTCCTAGCCATATCAGCTAGTGTGTCCAACCAAACGTGTTCACCGTCCTTAGGACCCCAGCCAGGCAGTCGGGATGCACCAACCGACGCCAACTTCGAAGTGAGGGTTTTCATTTCTCGCGACCAAGTCATCAGTTGGCCTCCTCTCCTCCTCTTCCAACCGCACCCACAACGCGCAAACAATGCACGTCGTGGGAGTCGGTGTGCTGGCATGCGCAAGACGTGGCCCAGCCATCGGAGCCTGGTGCGTGATATAATCGTGCTGAGCGGTTCACTCGCTCTTCCTGTACCAAATACGCGACGTCGAACACGCTCATTGCTCACGCGGTGTTCCCACCAGACATGAGCTAAGCTGCGAAGGCAGCGATGATCGAACGTGACGAGTCTCTTCATGTCTGTCGACCTGATGGGCCAGGTTTCACAGCCATATAGGAGAGTTGAACGGACGGCTGCGTTGTAAACTCTGCCCTTGAGGGCGAGAGTAATGTCGCGTCTGCGCCACAGGTGGCGGAGATTGGCAAAAGCACCTCGAGCTTTTGCTATACGGTTCGTAACCTCATCTTCAATCCCACGGGTGCTAATATAGCTGCCCAGGTACTTGAATTCCTGAACGACTTCTAGCAGATCACCACCAAGCGTTAGCGCAGGATTGGGTCCCTGCCAATCTTGGAGAAGTACTTTGCATTTTGATGGAGCAAAGCATAGCCCAAAACGACTGACAGCCAGTGCTAATCGGTTCAGTGCTGTTTGGCATGTTTGGGAGCCGTCACAGATTAGGGCAATATCGTCTGCATACTCCAAGTCAAGAAGTCGCTCACCAGGGAGTAGCTCCACACCTTCTAGGTCGTGTCCAGCGAACGCTGTTTCCATGACTTCATCAATAGCAAAGTTGAAGAGGAAAGGTGACAGCGGGCATCCTTATCTCACACAGCTGGTGATACTGAAGGGTGGCGAGAGTTTGCCATAAACCCTCACCCTGCCCGAACTATGTGCGTACAGCGCTTTGATAATGTTTACATATTTATCAGGCACACCTTTCCTCAACAGACAGTCCCAAAGGGCACATCGATCGACTGAGTCGAAGGCACCTTTTATGTCAAGAAACACGACAACGGTGGGTCGCCAATAAACATGGCGGTGCTCCAACACTTGACGCAATGTGAAGATGTGGTCGATGCAGCCCCGACCTCGACGAAATCCGGCTTGCTCTTCACGAATTTGGCTTTCACGAGTGCCAGTCAGTCTGTGGAGAATGAGAGAGGCAAGCAATTTAGAGGCAATCGAAATCAGACTGATCCCTCTATGATTGCCACATACCAAACGGGAGCCTCCCTTGAAAATTGGGACAATGACGGAGCGGTTCCAGTCTGTCGGGACTGTCTCCTGCTCCCAAAGTTTTACTAGCAACTCGTGTAGATCACCTATTAGAGCAGGTCCACCGAACTTGAAGAGGGCTGGAGGAATAGTATCTGCTCCTGCGGCCTTATGCAATTTCAACAGCCTGATCTCACGTTCGACTTCTGCGCGTGAGGGCGGATCCAAGGAGACGGCCCAAGGAGAAGGGCGCTCAATGCCCGAAGAAGAAAACGATAACTCAGGTTGGTTAAATTGCATAGCAAAGTGTTCAGCCCAACGCTCCAAGCGTTTTGACAGGCTGTGGATCATCTGCCCACTCTCGTCGCGTATGGGTCTCGCTAACACCAGGTCTCCTGCTGCCTGTTGCCCGTATCAGACGGTATAACTTACGATGATTACCAATGGCGGCGGCTGTTTCCATCTCAGATGCACGATGAGACCACCAGGTTTCGCGGTCCTTCTTTAGGCTAGCACGTAGTTTCGCCCTGAGATTTTTGCGAGATTCATTGTATTCGCTTCCAGCCGGAATACGTCGGCGAGCATCCATAAGTTCCAGAGACTGTGTAGAGACCCAATGTCCGGTTTTGCAATTTGTTTTGCCACATGAAGACATGCCTGCTAATAGCAACGCTTGACGAGTGTGCGACCAGTGATCTTCAACGGTGTTTAGTGGGCGCTTACTCAGCCCAGATGTCAGTGCATCTGCGGAAAACTTTCGATAAATGTTATAATCCTATTGAATGAGAAAGTATTGCATATCAGATAGCAATCCAGTTTATAAAACTTAACCTATATCTAAGTACCAGATAGTGGAAGACAAAGAATAGACGAAACATAGCAGGGAAGCCATGATGTAGCACCTACTTGCTTATTAAACCGGTTTCGTAGAACGTGTTAAAAATCTGATTCACTAAATTTTGCTCCAAAGTTCTCACTGCGCCAACATCCTGTAACAAAAAGCATAAAAAGATGGAGTCATTACCGCTGTGACGAACAATGAAACAACCAAGTAAATAAATGGTGGATTAGCAAAAATGGGATTCAATGATGGATAACTCTCAATTAGGTCGTACAAAGATGAGTGCAGCACACATGTTCGTTGCAAGTGCTCTAGCAGCAGACTAAATGATAAATAAAATCTGTCGCCGAGGCCAGTAAAAGGCACTTGAACAAATCCAACTATGACCATGAGTGCAGTTCGTCAAGGCGCCTATCTTAGCATGACTGGTACAAACCAAGGTGGATCTAGGTGTATGTCCTGAGTGCTCATTACATGGTGACCCTCATTCTCTGCAGGTGGTCGAAAGGATCAGAACCCTGCCTGGTAATCCGGAGGTCGCTGGTTCGGATCCACGTAGGTGCGGACAATCTGGCGGTATACCTAATGTGCTTACGACCGGGCCGTTGAAGCCCATCGACACGTCCGAAATCTGCTTCTACCTGAAACGAATTTACAGCTTTGACACCACGCGGTAGCTGAAAATATTTTCAATATATGCTTATGAATATGCGGTAATCGGTCTGAGGATGAACTGGTATTGCAGCAAGCGATGATGGCGAAGCTAGGTGGTGTAGACTAACGGTGTCAGTTGGAGAAACCTATGTTCCGAGTTCGAGTCACACCTCTGCTCGCTCTCTCTAGCTGACGAGTGGAAGCAAGTGCTAAACCGGTCGAGGAGTGTAGTTTTTTCGGAGTGGGGGTGGCAACACCTAACAAGCATTTTCAGATGCGGTTCCAGTGATCAAATTGTCTGAAGAATGGTTCATAGTAATGTGAAAGTAGGATAATGTCATGTTGCCCGGGCCTAAACAGGAGAACGACTAGGGTGCTAAACCAAAGCGTTTGATTCAACAACTTATACACAAGGCAGCGGGTTTGGAAGTGGAATACAATTAAATAAATAAATAAAAATGTATATTCTCGGTGTTACACGAGGCACGCCAGCAAAGGCATGATTAAATGTGTACAAACAAACAATGGAGGAACAAAATTTGATCAAATGATTGTCATGTCAAGCTGACTGAGAAGGATCGTAAGTTCCAAGACGTGGTAAAAGGATGTGACAACTGTCTGCCCTCACAAGATCATTCAGTGTTGGAATGGATTATTTTTGCGAACTCAAAAGTGTTGATAGGGAGGAAAGATAATGCAGAACATTGCCACAAGTAAATGTTGTTCTGGCATGAAACCGATTACATGAGCGGTTATTCGCAGTCATTTGCCATCCATTCTTCATCCTCGAGCATACAATGGCGAGGAACTCCTGTGGTCCTGTTGAGTTGCAATCTTACCTACTTCAGCGAACCGTGCGTCTCATGGAAGTAAATACCGGAAGCGCAAATTATGGATCACGCAGATTTGCTGCAAGATAGATCTGGTGCAGCAGAAGTGTCTGTGAAAAACTTGGAAAGAGAGGAATCCGTTTTAAGAAATTGGGAGCCACTCTCACCCCGACCCCAAAACTGGGGCTGAATTTGTCTGGCTTCTTAGCATTGACCAAGCTAATATGAGTGGCTCTGAAGGTGCAAAAAGCACCAGCCAGCATAGCTCAGTGGATCACTGAGACACGCAAACCATCGCACCACGTTAAAATCCAAAGCCTCCAACGTGAATCTTGTTCCCGAATGAGATTAAGCGTAGCAATTCACTCACATAACGATTATCACAAAATGACCCTCCGATCAGACATTCACCGTTGTGACCTGGTGGCTAGAGGGGTGGAGGTCCAACCTAAAATTTTAATGGTCCCGGTTTCAATGACTGCTATCTATACCTCATGTGATCACATTAAGTCGTAACATGTAATGGAGTACAGTGTTTTCATGCGGGCAACATTGAATATCTAGCCGCTTCAAATATGTTTCCAGTGACAGAACTGACCGAAGTTCAGTTCAAAGTGAGCCACGATCCAGACTGAGATTGCGTGTCATTAAAAGCGAAGGCGAGTTTGGCTTTCAAACAGGAACAATGATCGCAACAACAGATCAATTTATCAACTAAAACCAAGAACGAGTGAAAAAAGCAGGAGAACGCAGTTAGAAGATACGTCTAATTGGTGAAAAGACTAACATACAGAAGCAAGAGGGTGAATCCCCATGGATTTTGCGGCTGCATTATATCAAAAACGATCGTCAGTCAGTGATGAGTGACTTCATGGTGGAGAACGGCGAAGACATGATGGGTCCCTTGAACGAAGATGGGTTGTTCAGTACTCGTACTTTCTCGGTTTTGAACCGAGGAAGTACAAAACAGACGAAATATAGTCTTTGTCTGCACTACAGTGTCACAAAAATATGCAAGCAAGAGACATTGGAAACCGAAAAAGATGTCATCGGCAGAATACTGGAAAACAATCATCATCAAGCATTTCGTAATTCACACCCTACCTGCAGCAACAGCCACCGTAAGAGCAAAACACGTTTCCCCTTCAGTTCCTTTTAAACGGTATATCCCCATTGGCCTAATACACAGGAAATTGTCAACTGCAGTGAATCCAAAATAAATAATATAAATAGTAATAATAAAGAATCAAACGTACCCAGCCGCTACAGTGTGTGACGGCATGTTGTCTACATAAGGTGTAGGCGCCTTGACCCTGAATGCTCGCTTAAGGCATTAAGGTTTTCAGGTAAGTCCCCCTTCTCTCCCCCTTGTTATTCTTTATTTCATAGGTCCTCATGGTTGTATGGCAGCGGAGCATCAGTTCAAATGGCTGATGTACTGCTGCTGCTGATGATGATGACGAGCCGCTACAGTCCACGTCCTTAGTGAAACTGGCCCGCTAAATACACAACGCCACAAACATAAATTCCGGTCTAACCTAAGTCACTCATAGTATACCAATCCTCCTGCATCCGGTACATGGACATACATCCATACGTATATCGAGACGGATAGCAAGGTGCCCGGCCTCACTGTGGCACGACACTTTTAAAACCCTCCCCGACAAATGCTAGAGCACCTGCTGAGAAGTGGACATCATATGTAGATAGTCGGACCGGGACAGAAGGATCTCATACTCGCCTTGTACCCCAGAGGTTGCGGGTTCGATCCTATGTAAAAGACAGGCGACCCTCACAGTGTACTTAGTGCACGTGGTGGTTACGTGACAGCGAAGCTATGAGACTGCTTACTGGTGTACCGCTATGCCTATTATATCCAGAAAATGACTTATTTCGAATGCTTTATAGCGAAACGGGTCCCGGAAGGACTAAGAACGTGTGTGTGCCACTGCGAAAAAAGTAGCGATCCCATTTCGCAAAATGCGAGCTGGAGGTGCACTCCAACGCAGTGTCCACCGTAAACCAATTTGGAGTGGAGAATAGATGAATTTCACCAGCTCCGCACCGGTCACCTACAAACGTGCTTTCATCAGAACTCGTTTCTACAGAGCCAAAGGGTTTTGTAGTCCACAGACGGTGCAGAGTGAAGAAAAGTTCCTGCATAGGAATTTTGTGCCAAATGGTTATCTGGAGAAATTTATCCAGTTCCACAGTGGACCAATCAAAGATAAGGTACCAGTACAAATGGTTGAGGAGAGAATGTTTACGTATTTCTATCGTTCAAAGGAGACAATGTTTCAAATGAAATTGGTCACAAACTTCGGTCTACTGTAACACGCGTGTCTACAAATCATCTACACCATACGGAGAGTTGAGCGCAACTACCGTCCGAACAGTTCGTCAGTCGGTTTGGTCTCTCATGTTATTCACCAGTACACCCGCAGTGACGCGGCAGGAACGATCGGCGATTGACTCAAACGGTGGCTGAGCACTTCCTAAAGTGGTTGGGACAATCCATGGTACAACATGGAGGGATGGATCAAATGGGGAGTCGGAGCCCCGCCACATCTACTACAAGTCACTTTGTCATGGCTGGTCATCACATGGATTCATCAAAGGTCTTCAAAGCGCTACCGATCATCCGAAACTCGAAAATAATGGCAATCAGAGAGGCGTTACTAAATGCGGTAAACCGGCCAGTATTACGCGCACCAAAGCAACTGAAACAGTAAATCAGATGGTCCTGGTCTTGATCAGCCAAGCTTAAATTTATCTGTGCATTTTCGTTCCACATGTATATAAGTTAATTTATTACAAAAAGGTATTGCGCATACGATTGCGGAGAGCATTGGAAATGTTAACATATCGCAAGTTTTGTCCTCTCTCTGCGCAGAACATCGCACTATGGTTGTGCTCGAAATAGATCAATGAATGCGACTGGTATGATCTCCTCTGTCTTTGCGATTCCGGTTGAACTAAAATCGTTCTCAGTTAACTCCAAATCTCAGCCAAAAATCAGTAGACAAAGCTCTGCGACGAAAGCGTGCTGCAAAACTAACTACCGAAACGGAAACAAGTGGTGTAGAAACCAGTGAATATTTATTGGCCAACTCAGGAAGGTTCGCGTTTCAGAACAGATAGGTTAACTGCCCTGATTTGTAGTTCAGTTCCGCTAGCCAGTGCGTCGTATGGAGACGAATGTTCCTGAAGCCACTTGATGTTTCGGCTGTACATCATTGGCTCAGCTGGTATTCCCACTGAATTAATGAGTTTTCCCGGGAGATTTGACTCTCCCTAACATCGGCCATCTTCATTGGGACAGGTAGAATGATCAACACAGATACATGTATCATACATTAAAATGAAGCTGGTCCTTTGTTGACCACGTCCCTACTTCTCAACATAGTCACCGTTTCCCTCGATAGCAATGTTCCACTTTCGAATGAGAACATGTGTTCCTGCTTCGTAATTAGCTACTAGCTTTAAGCGGGAGCCGGGTGAGCTATTCCAAAAAACAGATTTGGTTGCAGGGAAACTTTTATTTGTACATCAAAAAAATTCCCCGTTGCCTAGCTATAAAAGCGACACCGTCGACACTCTAGATTGGGGGACGCAGAAAGCACAGCATACAAGGCAGTCGCGCATTGCAATCGAACTGTGCGCAAGCAAAATGGCCATATTCGTCTCAAGCAATCAAACTCAGCAAACAGTTCAACAATCCGCATCGGTCGCCTACGTGTAAAATGAAATAATTTAGTTAGAATTGTACACAGAGAAACGGGGGAATCTCCAGAATGCTACAAGTAAGATTCGGTTGACTGTCCCTTGAGCCACTACTTCATTGGAATAATGTTTGCCTCTCAAACCTTTTTTATGTGGACAAAAAGATGATAATCTGGAGGCGCTGAATCTGATGAGTATGGAGAATGTGGTAAAGTTGTCCACCCGAATGAGGCGATTGTCTCCCTCGTCCTGACGATTTGTGTGCTTGATCACTGTCGTACAGAAGTAAGACCTTGTCGATCGACAAGTCGGGTCTCATTCGGTGGATTCTTGGTCTGAGATTCGTCAGGGTCTTAATGTTGACCTCAATGTTTATTGTTTTGCTCTTGGCAAAACATTAAGCGGAACAATACCTTCAGTATCCCAAAAGACAGTCGCCATGATTTTTCTAAAAGACTTTTGTGGCCTGAAGTTTTTCGGTCACGATGACGTAGAGCGGCGCAATTCCATTGACTGCCACTTTGATTCCGGTTAGTAAAAACGAACCTGTCTTATCATCTGTTACAAGCCTTCGAAAGAATGCGTTATCTCTTTGAATGAGTTCGGGAAGTTCAGTGCACGCATCCACCCTGTCAGTCATATGTTCGATGGTCAGTTCTCTCGGTACCCAACGGGCACACACTATTGTAAAGCCAAGTGATCCGGCGTTGTAAGTACTTCCATGGCTCACTGCAAGGTCTTTTATGGAAACTCATCAAGAGTTATGTACCTGTCTTCTCTGAACGAGGCATCTTCCAATCGATAAGGTCCTTTTTCTGCACGACAATGCTCGATCACACATAATCATCAGGACGAGGAAGACAATCGCCTCATTCGGGTGGATAACTTTACCACATTCTCCATAATCGTCAGATTCAGCGCCTCCAGACTATCATCTTTTCGTCCACATGAAAGAAGGTTCGAGAGGTAAACATTATTCCAATGATTAGAAAGTGAAAACTGCAACAAAGTAGTGACTCAAGGCACAGTCAACGGAATCTTACTTGCAGCAGTCTGGAGATTCCCCCGTTTGCCTGTGTAAAATCCTAAATTATTTCATTGTACATGTAGGCGACCGATGCGGATCGTTGAACTGGTTGCAGAGTTCGATTGCCTGAGTCGAATACAGCCATTTTGCTTGCGCACAGTTCGATTGCAATGCGCGACTGCCTTGTATGCTGTGCTTTCTGCGTCCCCCAATCTAGACCGTCAACGGTGTCGCTTTTATAGCTAGGCAACGGGGAATTTTTTGATGTACAAATAAAAGTTTCCCTGCAACCCAATCTGTTTTTTGGAATAGCTCACCCGGCTCCCGCTAAAAGCTAGTAGCTAATTACGAAGCAGGAACACATGTTCTCATTCGAAAGTGGAACATTGCTATCGAGGGAAACGGTGACTATGTTGAGAAGTAGGGACGTGATCAACAAAGGACCAGCTTCATTTTGATGTGTGACACATGCACCTGTGTTGATGATGGAAGAAGGCGTTACTTTTTGACTTACCCTGGTATTTCATAATTGTATTTGCCCTACGAGGAGTGTCAAAAAGAAAGTTCTTCGCAACCATCCTTTGCTTGAATCGGTAACTGGGATAAGTATACATGAAAGTGACCAATCAGATTATCGGAGAGAAGGGGTTTGATGTGCATGATAGTGCAGGGGTTATCAAGGATTAAGTCAAAAGGTGACGCCATCATGCTGAAGGGGTCTGTGGTCCTTGTTGTGTAGTATGAGTTCGCGTGCATCTTGAGCAAGCGGTACATTAGACCAAAAATGTGCGATGATAGCAAAATCAATGTCACACAGCGCTAGTGGCTTTCGGGTTGGCAAAACCAGCGAAACCAATAGCTAGAAGCAGTAACAGTCAAGAGAATAAAATAATGAAATAATAATAATAAGAGAGGGATGGTGTACTTCGACACCGAATACCAGCGCTCTGACCCAATTTGCCTGTTAGCCGGCCCAAAATTCTTCGTACGTATACAGTAATGCAGATAACAAGAGAAATTCAAGACTGCTTGTACAAGCATACAAGCTGATACAATGGATACCTTTGACAGCTTTCTGGCCATAGCTGGGAGGAGCTTGAAAACGAATAGCAGCTTCGTAAGAGAAGCGCGGCCTGTGTTGAGCCAATCACGGGGCACGGGCAAGTTACGCAGGTAGCTATCCATCAAATGTCGCATTTTTAACCTAGGAAAATAAGATGAACAACAAATCTTACCTCATCTTGTCCAAAGTTTTAAATGTCTTTATGTAGTTGACATCCAATCCGAGACCCACAGAGGTGACCTAAGTGAATGGATATGTGATCTAAAAATGAACTGCTGGACAACTTACGACGATGAAGTGAGAAACTGTGAACAAGTAGTAGAGTAGTTTGAGGGTGACATGGTCACTGGAAACCAGAAAATCCTCAATATGAGTGCGGTGGTCATTGACTGCCTGAACTAGGTCTTCCAGGTTGATGGAGTTGAGGATCAGATAGATGATTTGTCGCTCACAGTCATAGAAACCATCAATGTGTGGCTGTATGATAAAATACCAAATATAATCAATTACCCCTGAAATGTCCAACTTCTGGTAGTGGTCAGGGTAATTGTTGATATTTAATGAAGACCTATCCCCCAGAATCGTATCACATTCACCCACGAAAGAAATCACTGTCACTTTGCGGCTTCTCGCTGGCAATATTCTGTGACAGAAATAGAAAAAAACAAACATTACTTGAAGTTGAACTTCGGTGGAACGGTGAAACACCCATCGCGATATGCATGTTCTGCCAGCATTACCAAGCTAAAAGTCCGAATTTACACTGAAGACTCGGAGGTAAAGGGCAATGCATTTCCGCTGCGCGAACAATCCAAGTACTGAGGGATTAATGACATGCTGTAATAAAAAGTGATAGATGTAAATTCAGCACAATAATTCGGTGTGGGTGAAACTTGCGCACATCATCATCAGTACAAGTTGACTAAAGTGAAAAATACCTGATCCGAACAGGAGCAGAAGTAATCGTTGCAATAAGTTGAAGGAGCACGAGATCCCACAGTAATCACATAACGAACAGCAATATCCAGTTGATCGAAGTAGATCCCAGTGAGACCGACAAGAATGCGCCACAAACGCATATACAAAAAATCGCGAAATACGTGTAAGTCTGGTAGAAATGATATAGCTTAAGCCAATAAAGTAATAGCAAAAGTGGTCAATCAGCGTGTAAAAGGATTGCCAAACGAATCTGTTGGGAGTCAGTTCCGACAAACGCCTGTGTTTGAAATGTGAAGGATGTAATAAACCTGAGAGAAATTACTCGTTCAGTGACCATGCTGGATTTTGAACGCTTTCTTAGTCAACTTGTTTAGCTAAAAGCAAACCCCCATCACTTGCTTCATTTGGCAAGCTATGTTACACTGCTCCCTGTACGCGCATATCTGCGCTTCATTCCCTGTAATCATCTATCCAAAACACAGAGTGTCCAGTCGCTTTACTTTTCTACATTGTCCCGCGTTCCACATAGGACGACTAGAATCTGAGTCGTTGGTGACCTCGGCTTAGTAATTTGCAACCTCTATTTTGAATATTTATATTCGTCAGCTCGCACTACTAGCCAATTGGTTAATAATAATAACAATAATAATAGGGTATATTTATCGTGGTGCTAAGAAACCGAGCCCACAAATGGACGGATCATATAACTTGAGATCATAACCTGAGAACAGATGTTGAACCGATTATTTTTCGGAGGCTGGGGAGAGGTCGATGGGTCTCGTTTCTATAAAGTTAGAAACGATAGACAACAGCTAACAGGCAATAGACAAAGTTCCATTGGCATAGAGCAGAAGCACGAGCGTCTAACAAGCCTGTAAAGGGAAACCCTTGCCCATCGATTTACTATTGCTTACATAAAGCCAGGCGGCTCCTAGACAAAAAGGTACAAATCAAACAACTCCCACCTGCGATTGGCTGTCGTTTCAGGCGCGCAACATATTGCATTCGAAAAAGCACAGGTGTATCGACGGGCCTCAAACATATCCCACGGGACTACAATCACACTCCAGAGATGTACTTGACTCACGTTACTTTGCGGACCAGGCTACTGAGTCTAAAATTCTTCGACCGAAACCCCAATACCTTGTGGGTCAGACTGGTGTTGGCTTCTCGGAATGAGCAGCAGAAGCGTAGCAGCTGCTCTACTAGAACCCGTAAAAAAGCACAAGCAGTATGCTAACACACTGTACCTACGCTTCACTGCTACACGACAATCAGCAGTCGCGCGAGAGGTGGGAATACAGCTACGTCCCCGCACATATACGGATACGAACATTTGCAACGAGACTCCGCCGCAACGAGACTGGACCTTAGCGTGGTGCGACGGTTTGCGTACCTCCTTGATCCACTGAACTATACTGGGTGGTGCCTCCGAATCCCTTGATAGCTATTCCTATCAGATTGGTCAATTGTGAGAGGTCAGACAAACGCAGTTCCTGACCCTAAAGGTTGGGTGTTTGAAATAGGATGCCGTGCATTTCTATAAAACAAAATCATTGCCACCTCCTCGCTGCTTTGCGGACAGACTATTGAGCCGGAGGCTTTGGTTGAGGACCCTAACCGTCCTTCTGTTTAGGTCCAGACGCCCTGCCAATATCTCAGCCCACACACAATCATGACTTTATCTTCAAACATAAAGTCCATCCTGCATCGGCCGTCACGCAGATGATCAAGGGTCGCCTTGTCTGTTGCATACAGCAGCGCGGATAAACGAAAACATGCTACTGCTGGCGCCTCCCTTCTTTCTTTTCCATCTGTTTCTCTTACTCCCATCCCGACCCCCATTACTCACCTACCTATAGTTCCCAGCTTAATTGACTGCCACAGGAGTAGAACCAACTGCAGCGAACTTCCAACAACATCCATCGGATGCCAGTTGGCAACAGCCCCTTATAAGGTCACACTGTCCCGTTTCTCTGGTGGTGTTCAACGTTTGTACTCTAATACAAACAGGTCAACAGGATGCACTCGTTTGCACCTTGGACAAAATGGATACTGACGTACATTGTGTGTTCGAAACTGGGATCAATGACCCTAAGGCGGTTGTTGAATTACCTGCACCCGGCTTGTCCTCTCGCTATTGGTTGCACGCATCCGGAGACGCCGATGCAGCACTCACGGGTCAAGCTGGTGTAGGTATCATTCTAATCTCCAAGTTGAGCCATCGTTGGTTGATTGGATTCCGATTTGTGTGCAGTCCGGTTGAGGACACCGACCAACGTTGATTCGCGAAGTAGTACAAAATACTATTTGTTTTTGATTTCCACTTATGCTCCCACCGACTGCAGTTCTGTTGCTGCCAGGGGCACATTCTAACACGAACTGAACACGCTACTATGCAGTGCCAACAGTTCAGATATTATAGTAGTTGCAGGGGGTGTGAACGCACAAGTAGGTCTCTTGGGCTCTTCAGGAGCTCAGGTGGGTGGTAATTATGCGCTTAACTCTGAGCCGACTAACCACGGCGAGCGTCTGCTGCAACTGTGTGCGGCGCACCGCACTGCTTTTAGACGCAGTGGGCGACGAAGTACCACTTGGCATCCTCCTGTAGCTGGACAGCGATGGATCCAAATTGATCGCATTGCCATAAGTTACAGATGGCGTGGTTCCATGCTGGATTGCCACTCGTACTGGAGTACCTGTGTCGATTCTGATCATACCTTGGTAAGCTGTCATTTACGCATAAACTTGACCGGGAGGCGCACCAAACGTGTCCTCCGACTGGAAACTGAGAAACTGTTTCAGCAGTCGGTCAGACAAGACTACCAAAAGGCACTGCGTACTGAACTTTCGCTGTCTTGTCTTAATGACACTGAGCATCAGTGGAATAGGATCTCGGCCACCGGAAGTGAACTGATTACTGGTTGGTTCGGTGGAGCTGTACGCCACCGGGCGCGTCCCCAGGTTGCGGATCGGGGAACCCCTTCCTTGTGAAGGTAACTGTGAACAACTCTAAGCTGTTTGCAGACGAGATGAATAAACAGTCGCGGACTATCAGCGGCAGCGTCCTAGAGCGTGGGAGGTTCGGGACTGGTCACCTGGCTCCTCGCTAAATACCTCAAGAGCTCGCAAGAGGCTGTGTCAAAGCCAATGTGACCGGCTATAAGATCAGTGACCACTCACTTCTGGTCACAGAAGTGAGTACTTAACGAAGGGTGGAGGAACAACCTCGATGGCCACCAGCTTCTATGAAGACGTATGAGCCACCCGGCTGTCAACGGCCTTTGTGCTTCGTGGCGAGCTCGGTAGTTCTTGCTGCTTCACTAAGACTCTTTGGGCGTCCTGAGTAACTTGTCACTACTCGAAAGCCGTTCACCTAAAGAGCCGGCCCCCAACGATCGCGGTATACGTCAAACACCCCGCTGCCTTGCAAGTTAGATCATTATGATCCAAGACTTCGGGTGGAATCCCTTAAGTTAACTCTCTTCCTCGGCCTGGGGAACCGATAAGTACTATGCCCACACAACCTATGGATCCACGTCTCAAAAATTCTACGCTCGCTCTCTCCGCTCCCGCTCGAACTGCTCTCACTCTTTCAAACAGTTCACATCGGCAGAGGTGCTGGCGGCTGAACCTGCCAAACCACCTTTTACCGCACCACCGTTTAGTCACTTTATTCCACGTTTGTTCAACTCCCCCATTCTTGGTCTTCCCCCTCCGTCTTCGAGTTCACAACATTGTGCCGCCTTGGGCGAACGTTTTCGCCATACGGATCAGGAGCCTAGATCAGAAGATGCGCCAAGTAGTGTTGACAAGCCATTTCTAGCGCCCTGTTCTCAATTCAAGCTGGCAACCTTCAATGTTCGGATACCGATGCAGATTGGATCACAGGCAGCCCTTGCTCGCACTCTAGAAACTACAGCCATTGATGTCTGCTGTCCCAGCGAGACCAGTTTACAAGACTCTAGCACGATGCTGCGACTAGTTTCACCGTCTGCGAATCCCATTGGCATTTTCACTTTGCGCCCATCTGGAGACTCAACCACCGAAGCCACTGGTAATGCTGACGTGGGGATTGCGCTGAGCACACGTGCTGAGGCCGCGCTACTAGACTGGATCCCTGTCAACAGTTGACCATGCGCGATTCGACTTGAAACTTCAGTGCGACTGTCCAGGCGCAAAGCCAGCAGACGCTGTCTATTCATTGTCGCAGCGTACGTTTCCATAGATTGCAACCCGGAATCAGTTAAAGATGAGTTCTATGGTCAACTGGCCGATCGTCTACGTAAAAAAACGCCGTACTAACATCGTGGTGCTAACCAGGGGTTGAACGCGCAGGTCGGTAGACTTGAAGCTGACGAACATGAACTAGGTGGTCAACACGGCCATGGCACTCGCAGAACTAACAACGGTGATCGATTACTTCAGCTCTGCGCCTATCACGGCCTTTTTTGTCGAGCACTAGCTTTCGGGGATCCTCGCGCCAAAGCGCCACTTGGAAAACCCCATCAGTTGGCCAGCCGTGGATACAAATTGACCACATCGCCATTAGGTATCGCTGGCGGGGTAACACAGGATTGCAAATCTGTCTGGAGTACTTACCTCGCTTCGGAGCACGCGCTGGTGTGTGCCAAGGTTGCACTACGTTTTGGGGGCTCCCAGCAGCGTCGCCAGAAACGGTTTGATGTAGCTAAGCTAAATCAAGAAGTCGTTCTCCTGGGAGTAGCTCCACACCCTCTAAGTCATGTCCTGTAAATGCAATCTCCATGACTTCGTCAATAGCGAAGTTGCAGAGGAAAGGTGACAGCGGGCATCCTTGTTTCACACCGCTGGAGATATTGAAGGGTGGCGACAGTTTGCCGTAAGCCCTCACTCTGCCCGTGCTACGCGCGTATAATG